AGCTTTAAAATATTTATACCTTTCTTTTTTATTATATCAGCTCTAGACACCATCCCATGATTGTTCTCACTTTCCTCTCTAAACTTATCATTTGTATTTTTATGGTGTTGAAATTGATAGGATTATATTCAGATACTTACAGTTAAATATTTCATGCTTTTCTATATGTTGGCTTTAAAAATTGGAAATTAATAAGGTGTTTACGCTGTTCTGACAGTGATGAGACATGGTGTGATTTGGTTTCCCTTCTTGCACAGCTTTTGTTTTCTTTGATTCTTCTACTTTCTTTTCCTGCCCACTCCCCACCCCCAAATCATGTACTTATATTGACTTATTTTTTTAAGATTTTATTTATTTATTAGAGAGAGTGAGAGAGAGTGAGAGCACGAGCTGGGGGGGAGGGGCAGCGGGAGTGGGAGAAGCAGGCTTCCCGCTGAGCAGGGAGCCCCGTCATGGGGCTTGATCCCAGGGCCCTGGGATCATGACCTGAGCCGAAGGCATACGCTTAACCGACTGAGCCACCCAGGTGCCCCCTATATTAACTTTTTATGTTGTTTCAAATGATCAGGAATATCATCAAGTACTGACCTCCTTTATCTCTAGATAACTCTCTTCTGGAACCTCTGTTCTCTGGACCATTCTGTGCTGAATGCTTTCTGTTAGCTTCCTTCCTACTTTCTATATTTGGAGCCATTTTACGCCCCCTGGTTCTCATGTTATCTTCTTCCCTTATTCCTTCACTTTGCTGATAAGCATCCCCAAGTAACTTCCCAAGAAAGAATATGTGGGAGGGGCGCCCGGGTGGCTCAGTCGGTTAAGCATCTGACTCTTGATTTCGGCTCAGGTCATGATCGCAGGGTCCTGGGATCGCGCCATGTGTTGGGCTTTGCGCTCGGTGGGGAGTCTGCTCGAGGAGTCTCTCTCCCTCCCCCTCCTGCCAGTCACGTGCTCTCTAAAATAAATAAATGAATAAAGCTTAAAAAAAAAGAGTATGTGAGATATAACTTTCCTAGGTATTTGCACATCTGAGTATCTTTATTCTACCCTCGCATTTGATTGTTTTAGTTTTTAAAAAATGTCTCTGGCTTTTTCTCAAGTTGTTCTTTCTCTTGTTCCTGTTTGGATGCATGTTGTTCCTCTTGGATTGATGCTCTATGTCTTATTTTAAGAAATATTTCTGTCTCGGGCACCTGGGTGGCTCAGATGGTTAAGCGTCTGCCTTCGGCTCAGGTTGTGATCCCAGCGTCCTGGGATCGAGTCCCGCATCGGGCTCCCTGCTCCTTGGGAGCCTGCTTCTCCCTCTGCCTCTCTCTCTCTCTGTCTCATGAATAAATAAATAAAATCCTTAAAAAAAAAGAAATATTTCTGTCTCTTTCTGTACTACTCTCTATGAGACTTTATCTTCTAATATTTATGCCGAATTTTTAATTACTCATTTTTAATTTACAGGGGGTCTTAATTGTTCTCTTTCTCTCTCTCTTTTTCATAGCATCCTGTTCTAGTTTATGGTTGTAATAACTCTTGAATCTCTCTGAGGATACTAATTGGGGATTTTTTAAAAAGTTATTTTTTGTGGGGCACCTAGGTGGCTCAGTCGTTAAGCGTCTGCCTTCGGCTCGGGTCATGGTCCCAGGGTCCTGGGATCGAGCCCCGCATTGGGCTCCCTGCTTGGTGGGAAGCCTGCTTCTCTCTCTCCCACTCCCCCTGATTGTGTTCCCTCTCTCACTGTGTCTCTGTCAAATAAATAAATAAAATCTTTTAAAAAAAAAGTTTTTTGTTTCCTATATTATTTCTGCTTCTTCCATTGTCATTTTTTCTGTTCTTTTTTACTTTTAATTTTTGTGTGGATTTTTACCTTTTTAATTCATTTACTTTTATTTCAAAGGTGCCTAGGATAGGAGAGAAAATAAACACATGCAGTCAAATCATTATCTATAACTGGCTATTATTCCCTCTTAGCACATAACTTCAGTGGGGCATTAGTCATGAAAGAGCTCGCTCAGTTTTTCCCAACTATATGAGGGCTTTGAGGGAAATTACTTATACTTTTAGGAGTCAACAAGAAAGTTAAACTGACTGGACTTCATATACATTTAAGGGTGATTTAGTGAATTTCTTTCTTTCTTTTTTTTTTAAAGAGAGTGAGCGCCACGTGTGTGTGTTTGGGGGGGCAAAGGGAGAGAGAGGGAGAGAGAGAGAGAGAAAATCTTAAGCAGGCTCCACGCTGAACCCCACACAGGGCTCGATCTCACCACCCTGAGATCATGACCTGAGCTGAAATCAAGAGTCACACGCTTAACTGACTGAGCCACCCAGCTGCCTCTGATTTAGTAATTTTTGTACTTCTTTTAGGGCTTAGTTGTTCTGTTCAAGAATAACTCAGGAAGAGAAGATCAACATGAAGGGTTATCTCCCCCTTTTTAAATAACATCTTTATTGAGATATAATTCACATACCATAAATTTCATACTTTTTAAATGTACAGTTGTTTAGTGTATTTACAGAGTTATGTATCCATCACTACTATCACATTCCAGAACATTTTCATCACCCCAAAAAAACTCTATACCCATTGGCAGTCACTCCATCTTCCTACCCCTCTCCTCCAGCTCCTGGCAACGATGAATCTACTTTCTGTCTATGGATTTGCTGCTGCTTGGACATTTCACATAAATGGAACCAAAAATAGGTGACTTTTCGTGTCTGGCCTCTTTCACTTAGCATAATATTTTTAAGGTTCATCCATGTTGCAATATGTATCAGTATTTTGTTTCTTTTTATTGCCAAATAGATACCACGTTTTTTCTATCTGTTTATCAGTTTATGGATATTTTGGATTGTTTCCACGTTTTGGCTATTATGAATACTGTTGCTATGAACATTCATGTATAAGTTTTTGTGTAGACATATGTTGCCATTTCTCTTGAGCACTTATTTAGGAATAGGATTGCTGAGTCATATGGTAACTTTATGCCTAACTTTTTGAAGAACTGCCAAACTGTCAAATTGAATGCACCATTTTACATTCCCATCAGCAGTGCACAGGGGTTCCAGGATGAGGGGTCCAATCTCTCCACATCCTCATCAACACTTGCTGTTGTCTTTTTTATTATAGCCATCCTAGTGGTATACCTGAAGGATTATCTTGTCTCTACAGAATTGTCAAAGATCTTTGACAGTCAAGCCCATCCCAGTCTGGTCTTCAGGCTCATCTCCTGCCAATCTTCCTGGCTGCCCTTTGTCTGTCTATGCCAGTCTTTATGTGTTCCATGCTGCCAGACCTTTGCTCATGCTGGTCCTTAGCCTGGAATGTTCCCTTCCTCCCACAACCTCTTGAGTTTACCAGAGGCAGGCAATATATGTTCACTTCTCTAAATATTGTTTTTGTATCATATGTGGTAGTTACATGTTAGGCATTCAAATGTTTGAATGAGTCTTACTCATCCTTCCAGATTAGAGCAAGTTCAAATGTGACCCCTCTGAGACATAGTCCTTTACCTCCCTCAGAGTGAATCATTTTATTACTGGTTTCTTTAGTTAGTTGTGCACATGTCTTTTTGTCCTGATAAGTTCCTGGAATGCATGGACCACATCTCATCAGGCTGGATATCTCTAGGGTCTCGTAATGTGCTTGGTACTCAGGAAGTATTCATGATTATATGGGCGAGATGGAGGGAAAGACTGGTTGTAGATTTTCAGTAAAAGTATATTTATAAAATTAACAGGTGTATAGATTAACTTCCTGAAAGTTGTGTTTTATGTTCCTTTTAAATAGATGAAAGCATTTTTAAGAATAGATTATCGTATTTAGTTATTTCTCCTCCCTTTGGTTCCTCTACTCCTCCCCACATAGATAAGGAGGGATGGTTACCCAATATTGTGAATAAATTGTAGATGCTGTGCTAGAACAAAATTAACCTCCCAATTAAATGAGGAAATCATATGTCACTACTATTTCCCTTTGCACGGTATGCACATATAAACAAAACCCCTCCCGTTTACAACAAAAGAAGGGTTGTGTGCATGTTCTTTTTTTTCTTTTCTTGGTGAAGGGGTAAGTATTCTGTGGGAAGGAGAGAGCCAAGCTAAAATAATGCTGATATTTAAGTTCTGGATGTTATTTGCCTAATTTAAGGTCTTGAAGAGAAAAAGAGGGACAGTTGATTACCTGAGCACAGAAAGTACTGAGACTTTTGATCTTGAAAAACGTGGAAAGTGGTGAGAACACACCAAGCAGCCATACGTCTCTGGCCCTCTTAATCCCTGCATCCGAAGTGAATGTGGGCTGGTGGTCAGTGAAAGAGCTCTGAAATGTGGCTTCTGTGGCTACAAAATCTCAGCAAGAAGGTTTTTGCCATTGCAAGCATCTTGATCAGGTTCTATAAGGCTCTAGTATTAGGAGCGTCTAGTCAGTTCCTTACCAAGAGGAGGGCTCTCTGGTGTGTGTGTTGCACGAGGCAATCCTCCATCTCCCTTCCTTTGCCTAAGAAGATTTTCTCCTCCTAGGATGGGTAAATGCTAATCAGGGTCCACAAGGCCAATTTGTAGCTTTTGGCCAAAAGACTGACAAGGCTAAGATGCTAGATGGAGCCCAGAAGAAATTCCTTTTGCGTTCTCTGTTGCTCCAGAGTACCTGTGGACTTTAATTGAGATGAGTTAGGACTTGAACATGTCTCATGGGAATCACTGGATTTCTGCAGGATTCGTTGGTTGGTTGGTTAAATATGATCCTTTGCTAACTTCCTCTTGGAGGACAATAACCTAGGCATTTGAATTCAGAATATTTAGCTCTAAAGGACTGTTCTTTTGTATTCCTCACAGGGCCATTTTCCTGTTGAAGAGACTGTTTTAGAGGGAAGCCAAGAGACCTGGATTGGTTGACATTATTTATGTCCTCATTGAATCTCAACTAATGTCTTGCCTCCTGTGCCCTTTTCTTTTCTTTTCTCCTCCTCCTCCTCCTCCTCCTTCTTCTTCTTCTTCTTTTTTTTTTTTAACAGATACTAATTTTGTGTTGGGGAATGCCCAGATAGTGGACTGGCCTATCGTGTACAGCAATGACGGATTTTGCAAGCTGTCTGGCTATCACAGGGCGGAAGTGATGCAAAAAAGCAGTACCTGCAGGTATTTATGGTCGGGGTGGTTCTGTTGAACAGTCTATCATGGTATCTTCTGGAAAGACAAAACGGCTTACTCAGTGTGGGGATTGCCTTTCTCTCACTTCGTGTTTCTTCAGGAACATTTATGGTAATGTCGTCTCTCGTTCACGCACTATAACCGGGGGATCAAAGAAGGCTTCAGACACGGTCTCTGCAAACTGACTGGACTTGTAAGTTGCTGAGACGGGGACACCAGGGAAACTCAGGAAAGTCGTTTTATCTAGAAAATAGGGACTCAGAAGTTTATGAGGTGTTAGACTAAGTGATATGAAAGTTAGATGAGTCTATAAAAGGGAATGAAAATGAAATAAAATTTTAGGTGATTAGATTAATTTTTGAGACTACGTGACTGAGAAGAATCCCTACGATGTTGGAGCCAAGGGCCTTGTTCATAGGGCTTTTGCCAGAAAAAGAGAAGAGAACTGAGATTTGATTGCCTTCTAATTCATGCTGTCACATTTCTGGTGGCTCACTCGAGGACAGAGGCAGATGGCGTTAAGAGCGTATGCCGCCTGGGCATTTGAAAGGGTTCCTCACCAAGCAGTACCCTTGGGCCAGGGCACTAGAAAGGCTCTTTTAAAGCATCTACAAGGTGTGGAGCCGAGCAGAGCCTGTGCCCGGCCCTGCCAGATGCCCCGCTGCGGTGCCCTGGCAAGGTCTTGGCTCAGCACAGCCCTCGGCTCCTCTCAGTCCTTCTCACTCCTTCTTCGGAGTCTTGTCTTCACTGGTGTTTGCATGAAGTGGAATCATTTTCCCAGACCTGCCAAATCAAGAAATAAAGTCGTCTCTGAAGGGTGGAAAAACCTGACACACGCATCGTCTTTGGTTTCCAGAAGTTGCACTTTGATGGTCTTAAGTCAGCCATGTGACTAGTTCTGGTGAAAAGTATTAAGTGCTTCGAAAATACCATTTTCTTAAATTTTAGGTGTTTGGGGCTGGGAAATGGGAAATTTAAGATTCCCCTTCTTCCCTCGAAGGTGTAGAAATTGTGACTCTTAAGTCCTGCAATAGAATTCTCTTACATTTGTGGTGTGCTGTAATCCTCATTAGCGTCTGTCTCTGTATTTGCATCTACAACGATATTTGCATATATATAATCAAAACAAATCAGGAGAGATAGCCTCACTTTCTGGTGTGACCTGAGCAACGTTTCTTTCCCTTTCTTGCTTCTTATTGGCTCTAACCGGACCCTTGAAGAAGATCAGATAAGATAACTTGCAAATTTAGCCACCTTTTCTTTCATGCACAGTTGTAGGAAACGTATTATTTCCCTGAAGGTGTCCGTTTCCTAAAGATAAAGTAAACCTGCCTTCGTGCTGGCTACCTTCCTAATAGCTCAGGAGCCTCTTGTGCTTATTTCTTGCATTGCAGGTATTTGAAATCTAATGTCCAGGTTAAGGAAACTTACAGCTACCAGTAAATTATAGTTTGAGGAAGTACGTAAGACTAATGAAAGATGGGTGTAATTATGGCCACTCGCTTCTTTCAAGTCTCCATTGTACAGGGATTTGTTTCACCTTGTGAAGGAAATGGCCGGCCTGTAAAACCATCGTGTCGCTTAAGTGGAGGTCACTTATCCAGCAAATTAACTCAGAAAGAGAAAGTGGAGGAAGCTAAAAAGGCAACTGGCTAAATAAGATGGTCACAGAGCTTACATTTTGCCTCCTAGGAGAAGTCCTCTTGTTCTCAGGCAGGGCTAATTTAGTCTTGATCGAGCCATCTTTTTAAAGATAACTCAACACGCTCGGTTATCCGTTTTCCTGATTTATAAATGAAAAGCGGAGTGCTCCACGAGAGAAGCACAAGGGCAACCACAGATAATCATGTCTCTCAGAGAGCTGAGAAGGGGCATAGTAACAGAAGTGACACAGAATTCATAAAGTCAACAGCGAGGGCAGATTTCCTTGCAGAGCGCGGGCAACCGCAAGCCTGCAGTAAGCTCAAGGCTGGTCCAGTATCAAGCCAAGCAAGGCCTTGGAGCTGGTGGTAGCCTCTGAGGTTCTTTGTGGCTCTGCAGTTCTAGGACTCTGTGATTCAAGTCGTCACGAGAAAGATTGCATTCAGTATGCACAGTTTTGGAAGGCGGGGATTGTACTGTTTAGGAATGCATATCCCTGCTTCCACCTTACCCGAGGCTTGGGGGCTGAGTGTTGGTGTCCTTCTTGTTCTGGTCGCATGAAGGCCGGAGGTGGACAGGGGAAATGCTTGCTGGGGCCATGGAGAGCCTTTGTCCGAGGACTGGCTTTTCCTGCCCCATTGACAGATGGCTTTTCTCCTCTCCCATGTTGTCAGTTTCCTGTGCCGTGGTTTACTCTACCTAGCTGGGGGTGTATCTTATTCCCAGATGGACAAACCATATTCACAATGGGGCCCAGGAAAATGGACAGTCCTGGCAGTTTTCCTGCCTCTGCTGAGAACCAGAATTAGTAGGAAGTTCTATCTGGAGGTTTTCTCTCATTTTTTTTCATGCTACTTATTTCCCCCCTTAGTCTACTTTTCTCCAAATGTGAGCAGTCGGGAGGTGTGTGGGTAAGAATTGTAGGATTTTATCATTTCAGTTTTTTAAACCCAGTGTTTTTTTGGGGGATGGGGTGGGGTGGGTAGGAAGCAGAGCTGCACACACAGTGGCTGAATCTTCTGTTTCTTTCCTTAGCTTTGCCTTAATGTTTAGAACATCAGATTGCACCCTTTGGTGCAATTCTTTGGTTGATGAATTTTTGTGATTTTTCCTATTCTTTTGTTTATTTGGTTGGGAATTAGAAGAGGAAAGAATCTGTGGTCCAGATTTACTCTGCCATCTTTCCCAGGAAATTTCCCAGAGTTGTACTTCTAAAATGCAGATCTGATTACGGAACTCTTTTGCTTAAAACCTTCCAGTGTCTCTCCCCCCATTGTTTTCAAGATAAGGTTTAAATTACTTCACATGGCTTATCATGCCATGTGTTCCTTCATGATCTGGTCTGTGCTTATCTTTCTCTGTTATCTGTTGTGAAATCTCCCCTCATTGTGTCTATTCCAGTCACAGTGAACTGAACTACATCCAGGTTCCAGAATTAACCTCATTCTCACCTCTCTGCCTTTGCACATACTTTTCGTTCACCTGGAATGTTCTTTTCCCTCTTTTCCCCATCTAATTTCCACCTGCTCTTTAGATTTCATTTGCCTTTACCTCTGGGAAGCCTTTGCTGACCACGCAGGGCTCTGTGCCTGAATTCTGTGTTCTGTAACTCTGTATGTGTTGGTCACACTGTTTTCTGATCCACTCTTTTCTGTGTGTCTCCCCTTATTATTCTGTTCATTTTGATGGGAGGTGGTGATAGAGTGCTGGTGAATCAGTAAGTCTCTTTTGAGTGAATGTTTTCATTGTGTGTTTGTGTGTGTGTGTGTTCACTCCACATAGCACGGTGCTAGGTATAGGAGAGATGTTTAACATATGCTGGTACAATACTCAATATTTATTAAACTAACTTGAGCTTTTTGGTTGATTTGCAGTTTTATGTATGGGGAGCTGACCGATAAAGACACAATTGAAAAGGTGCGGCAAACATTTGAGAACTATGAGATGAATTCCTTTGAAATTTTGATGTACAAGAAGAACAGTGAGTATTCAGACTGTTGCGAACCATACCTTTATGTGCTTGGAATAGTAAAAGAGGTTCTCTTCCTCTGTTGTTGTCTTGGATCTTCTTCTCCCCTGTTAGCTAAATGTTGTTACGTGAGGCTATTGTTGGGATAAATGGTGTGGATTGCTGAGTTACACTGTTCTTTATGGAACACGTGAACTTGTCACCAACCAATTAAGACTTTTTTTTTCTTTTTTAAAGATTTTTATTTATTTATTTGAGAGAGAAAGAGAGAGCACAAGTCGGGGGCAGAGGGAGAGGAAGAAGCAGTCTCCCTGCTGAGCAAGGAGCCAGATGCAGAGCTCCATCCTGGGACCCTGGGATCATGACTGAGCTGAAGGCAGATTCTTAACCGACTGAGCCACCCAGGCGCCCCCAATTAAGACTTCCTGATCTCTGGGCACCTGGCTGGCTCAGTCGGTAGAGCATGTGACTCTTGATCTTGAGGTTGTAAGTTTGAGCCCGACATTGGGTGTAGAGATTACTTAAAAATACAATCTTAAAAAGAAAAAAAGACTTCTTCATCTCTTTTTCTGCCAAGGTAAAGTTTTTCCTATTGGTTTACTTATGATGAGCTGCTAGCTGAAGATACTTACAGACTTTTTTTTTTTAAAGATTTTATTTATTTATTTATTAGAGAGAGAGAGAGAGAGCATGAGCAGGGTAAGGGGCAGAAGGAGAAGCAGGCTTCCTGCCGAGCAGGGAGCCCAATGTGGGGCTCGATCCCAGGACCCTGGGATCATGACCTGAGCCGAAGGCAGTCGCTTAACCAACTGAGCCACCCAGGCGCCCCATGATACTTACAGACTTTAAGCCTTCTTGGGGGAAAGGAAGACATGGGACAGTGACTCTGGCCAGATCATCTGAATCTGTCCTCCACAGTACCTAGCACAGCAGGTAACACCAGTAGATGCCCTGTTAGGGGAAGGGGATTAAGAGTACACCTATCTTGATGAGCACTGAGTAATGTGTAGAATTGTTGAGTCGCTATATTGTTCACCTGTATGTTAAGTATACTGGAATTAGAAAAAAAGAGTTTCTGAATAAAATTTTCTTCTCCTGATGACCTTAGTTTTCTGTCAGAGACGGTATTAATATTCAGAGTGGATTGTGCATTTGTATTTGTTTTGGCTACAGTTACTTCCACTAAGCATGTTAATGAAGGATTTTGGTCAATAGCCATACACAGGTATAAAACTCACTTCTCTCCCGAGGTTTCCCATCGAATGGAGGTGAGCTATGTTGGACGTATGGGCCAGTGGGGTATATGGCCATAGTGGGGGCTGCAGAGATGTCCAGTAGTGCTGTGTTTTTGGCTTTAAAAAATGATATTGGGGTGCCTCGGTGGCTCAGTCTTTCAGTGTCTGCCTTCAGCTCAGGTCATGATCCCGGGGTCCTGGGATCGAGCCCCGCATCTCAGTGGGAAGCCTGCTTCTCCCTCTCCCACTCCCCCTGCTTGTGTTCCTGCTCTCTCTCTGTGTCAAATAAATAAATAAAATCTTAAAAAACAAAACAACCAAAAACTATTTTGTCTGTAAAGCATTCTGTTCTTTATATGTAGGATTGGATGGTAGGTCATAGGTTCAATAGCACGTTTCCAGAGTGGCTCAGATGGCCCATGAGGCTACGTGTTTATCTTGGTGGCATTCAGAGTGACACATTTTGCTCTGGAAAGCAAAGGGCACATGTTTCATCTGCAAGGAGCTGGGTCTTCAGTCTGGAGTGTTGGAGCAGGCAGCTGAGAGCACCCTTTGCTTGGTGCCATGTGCTGAAGCTGATGAGAGACTGGCTCGGGGCATCAGCTAATCCAAGAGGGTTGGTCCTGTAGCTTTCTTATTTGCGTGGAGCCTTGCTTCGTCTCCCTCCTTCAGCCAGTAGGTTGAGTTCCTACCCCACTATTCGGCAGGAGAGGAACAGGGTGAAAGACTGTAAATGGCTCTATGCTGGTCCTTCACCATGGGGAGCACAACCCAGAGCACCGGCTCTTACCAGGAGCACACTGGCCTTTTCATGGGGAGGAGCTGCTGTGTCCATGTGCCCCGAGCTAATGGAGTAAGTTCAAGGTTTTCCATGCTGGGAGCTTTGCGTACTGAACAGTGTGGGTTTCCCCTTGACACAGCAGACTAATTGGGTCGGTGTATCATAAAAATAATGCTTTGCATTTATATTTTGCTTCAGAGTTTTCAAGCTTCATTAGACTGTGCATTTAACTTGCTGAAATTATATGTGTTTGGCACACAAAGGAGAGAAGGGGAAACTTAATTTAAATTGAGTCAGTGATCTCACTTGCCATTCCCTTTAGGGAGCATGTACCCCAGAGGAAGTGTGCGACGGGGGAGGTGAAGCCGCCGTTCCCTCAGTTGTCCCCCGGGGCTGAAGGCCTTGTATTATGAGCGTCTTGTGCACTGAAGGTGCTTCTTATAGCTGAAGTTCTGTACTTTAGGTAGACAGGGCCCACGCGTGTAAGCCAATTGGTTCAACTAATGTCCTGCCACAGAACGGGCATCTCTTCCCTGCTTTGAGGTTGCAGTAGGCGTATTAAGAGATGCATGCCAGTCTCCAAGGGGGCATGACAGCCTAGGCATGGGGCTCTACTTCCAGGGTGGTGGTAAAGAATTTTTAAGAGTAATTGTGGTCATATGTGATTTTTACCTTACGCTTTGGCTTGAGAAAATAAACTCTGTCGAAGATAGGACTCCACTCTATTTTAAAATGTTGATTCTCTAAGCCCCGTGAAGTTGGCATGGCTGATGTTATTTATGCCCATTGTATAAGAAGTTCCAATTCCTTACCCAAGGTCATGCAGAGCCAGGACCTGGTTTCCAGTGTCCTGGCCGTTCTTCCAAGACTGTGGGTACAAGGCAGGGCCAGCATATATGGTTGTGGAGGTTATTCCCTGTGTAGAGGGCAACTGGAAACCAACTTATGGTTTGCTTGCTGAATCCTCCATGCACTGTACCTAACATTACATCTGTGTTGAGGAAGGAGCTTCTCTTTCTAATTTACACAAAGATGTCTAGAAGGCTAGTGGGAGTTCCATACAAGGCTAAGCCTGCACAGAAAACAGGAAGCATGAAATTGATGCAGATAGTGTTGGTTTCTTTTTAGGAACCTGTTCACTGCCTCCAAACTCCTCCAAATCCCATCCTCTCCTAAGGAATTTAGAAACTTTAAATTATTTATTAAGCCTGGGAATTTTTACATTTACACTGAATTCTGTGCTTTTTTTTTTTTTTTAAAGATTTTATTTATTTGAGAGCAAGAGCACAAGCAGGGGAGAAGGACAGAGGCAGAGGGAGAAGCAGGCTCCCCACTGAGCAGGGAGCCCAATGTGGGGCTCGATCCCAGGACCCTGGGATCATGACCTGAGCCGAAGGCAGATACCCAACGACTGAGCCACCCAGGTGCCCAAAAAAATTTTTTTAAAGCTTTTATTTATTTATTTGACAGAGAGAGAGACAGCGAGAGAGGGAACACAAGCAGGGGGAGAGGGAGAGGGAGAAGCAGGCTTCCTGCCGAGCAGGGAGCCCGATGTGGGACTCGATCCCAGGACCCTGGGATCATGACCTGAGCCGAAGGCAGACGCTTAAGGACTGAGCCACCCAGGCGCCCCAAGGATAATATTTTTAATGTTACAATAATGATGTTGACATTTGTGTAAGTTTATCTGTTAGGCCTGATCTTAATTCAGTAGAAAGTAAAACACGCTCAACTTTTGTGGGTGAGAAATTTCAAAGGAAATAATGTGTTCTTGTAAGTTTTGTGATTTTCATGATTTTGTAATTGGAAGAAAGTATGGGATAGGACCAAAATTTTGTTTCCATAGTTCCATATCAAACATTAAATTTAACTGGGCACCCAGCAAAGAATGGAAAGGGGCTAAAACAGATTCATTCTCTCTTGAAAAATGCAGTTGTTTTTTTTTTTTTTTAAGATTTTATTTATTTACTTGACAGAGAGATAGTGAGAGAGGGAACACAAGCAGGGGCAGTGGCAGAGGGAGAAGCAGGCTTCCCGCGGAGCGGGGAGCCCGATGCAGGGCTCGATCACAGGGCCCTGGGATCATGAGCTGAGCCGAAGGCAGACGCTTAACGACTGAGCCACCCAGATGCTCCCAGACAGGAGATCTCTGCAGAAACTGAAGATGGTGGGAGTTAGGCAGAGGAAGGGCAAAGAATAGCCCAGGCTGATGAAATGCACTGAAGTTTCAAGAGACCCAAAGCAGGGCTTCTCAGACTTTGACATGCATGGGAGATTACCTGCCAATTGCAGTACTCGTCCTCTTCCGTAGGTCTGGGGAAGGGTCCGAGCTTCTGCCCCCAGGTGATAGCAGCACTTCGGGTGCGTGTACCACATTGAGCAGCAAGGACAGAAAGCAGCTATGGTGAAGACTGACTTGGTGTCTACAGGGTGTGTCTCCTTCACGGCTGGATCCCTTGCACCCAGCATGCCTGACACATAGCAAATTCTCCCCCAAACTCATGGAGTAATTCCATAAATATGTAAATCGATAAGGGGTGACCACTGAGGCTGGAGAGATTAGGAAGGGCCAGTAATGCAGCCACATTAAAGAGTTTAGAATTTGCCTTAACATTGTTTGGGGGGCGCCTGGGTGGCTCAGTCCGTTAAGCTTCTGCCTTCGGCTCAGGTCATGACCTCAGGGTCCTGGGACCGAGCCCCGCATCGGGCTCCCTGCTCAGTGGGGAGTCTGCTTGTCCTTCTCTCGCTCCCTCTACCTCCCCCCCCCACTCGTGCTCTCTCTGGCTCTCTCGTAAAATAAATAGAATCTTAAAAAAGAAAAAAAAGCAGTGTTCGGGAAAGAGGGCGGGGGTGAGGGGTGTTAAGTATATAATCAGATTTACATTTTAGAAAGATGGCTCCAGTAGAGTGAGGAGATGGAACAAAGCCTAGGAGACTGGAGGTCAGGGGCCCACTTAGGAATGACCTGGTGACAAGATGGTTTCGGCCTGCTGGGA